TTAAATTCAATAAAATAATTTGGACTATTTTAAATGTATTAGTCCAAATAAAAATTATGGAAAAATATAATTGAATTATTTAAGTTTAATAATATTGAGTGGGCTAGCCCATACAATTGGGCTACAAATGATGAGCCCACTTTATTAAGCCCAATATATCATTTTCCTAGAGGCTCAGTTTGGTGCCACGTGTCAAATGACATGGCACGCCATGTCAAATGGAAGAGCCAATAGGACCATGCCACGTGTCAAAATGACAAGGCATGCCAAGTCACATTAAAAGGCTAATGAAATCATGCCATGTGTGCAAGTGACATGTTCTGGCCGATCAAATGAGGCCATGTCACACTTCAATTTTATTGGTCGGAAAGAGTTTCCCTTCCACAACTATAAATAGGGGGCTTCATAACTGAGAAAAGACACCAGAAGTTGTAACAAAAAAGCAAGAGAGAGCTCGTGGATCAAACGCGGTAAATTTCTCTACAAGTTTCAAGCTTCAAGCAATCAAGTCCAAGTTCAAGAAATTAAGTTCAAGCTCAAGAACAAAGAACAAATCAAGTTCAAGATCAAGAAAGAAGAACAAATCAAGATTCAAGGAGTACGAGTTCAAATCAAAGTTCGTGCTAGTTGAATCCAAGATCATCGTCCGTGGCAACAAATATAGATTCAAGATCAAGCTCAAGGGCCCTTGAACTTATTTACTATTGGAAAGAAAAATCAGAGGATTCATAGAGATTGTAACACTCAAATATTCAAAATAAAATACTACGATTGTTGCAATATTTTTCGGTCTGATTTTATTTTCTCGACGTAATTTATTGTCTACAAATTCTATCCCGCCCAGTGGGACAATCTCTACCTCTCATCTCAACTTTTCAATCACCAAAGTTTAAGAACATCAAAATGGTTTCAAAGAAAATTATCTCCGGATCAACTTCCACCTAGGCTGCTAATTCCAAGTTCTACGCTGATTTAGAAAGCATCCTCGATGTTACCTTTGGAAGCTTTGGACCGACTACAAGGAGCAAGGCAAGCTCTTTAGGACAACAAGCACTCCAAGTGAAGTCTGCTTTAGTCCCTATTTTTGGATCTTCATCCTCAAAAGAAGTAAGATCTTCCACAAACGCACACGAAGGAGGAAGCGATGTTGCTGAAAAGATTAAGAAAACTCTTGCTCTGCTTGACCTCTCCGGATCCAAGAACTCTGCTATGAATGGAGATGATGATGCTTCAAGTGATGGATCCTCTCCACTTACACCGCATAGCGTGAGCCATTCGAGAATCAATCTGTGTGACAATCCATGCTACTCCCCATCATCTACAACAATCATGCAAGCCATGGTGACAAACACTTCATCAGTGGAAGAGAAGTTGGCGAACTTGACGGAAGCAATCGCTGGCTTGACCAAGTGCATGCAAAATCAAGATGCTGAAATTGACAAGCTAACAGACAGGGTGGGAATCTTGATGGAAGAAGAATCCACCCATACACATGGAAAACTCCTAGAAGTTCAAGAGATTGATCCTCCCCCAAGACAAGTAGCATCCGCTAAAGCTATCCCTGTCTCATTTGAAGGGATGATTCCAATCGATCAGCCGAAAGAGTTCATCGAAGGAACTATTAAGAACAAATATGAAGTTGCTGCCAAGTCCTCCTTCACATATGCAAAGCCGTACACTGCAAGGGTCGATATGTTGAAGATGTCTGCTTGCTATCAACCTCCAAAGTTTCAACAGTTTGATGGTAAAGGTAATCTAAAGCAACATGTAGCGCACTTCGTTGAGACGTGCAACAATGCTGGGACTTATGGAGATTACCTCGTGAAGCAGTTTGTCCGCTTGCTAAAAGGAAATGCTTTTGACTGGTACACAAACCTCGAGGCTGGATCTATTGATAGTTGGGATCAACTAGAGCAAGAGTTCCCCAATCGCTTTTATAGCACGAGACGTACTGTGAGTATGATAGAACTTATAAATACTCGTAAATAAAAGAGTGAACCAGTTATCGACTTTATTAATCGTTGGAGGAATGAAATCCTCAACTGCAAAGAGAGGCTTACTGAAGCTTCTGGCATAGAGATGTGCATCCAAGGCATGCATTGGGGACTCCGCTACATCTTGTAAGGTATCAAGCCTAGCACTTTTGAAGAACTTGCAACTCGTGCCCATGACATGGAATTTAGCATGGCCTCTGTTGGAAATGAATGGCTGCCCATCTATGAACCTCGCAAAGGGAACGACAAGCAAGAAGTCTGGAAGTGGGGTAAGTTCGTACCCAAGTCTGAAAGCAAAGAAGCTATGAATGTCAACATATCACCTGTAAAGTTCACGACGAAGGAGAGCAAGAAGCAGAGTATAAAATCCACTTCTTTTCGAGATAAGCCAAGTGGAATGTTGACTCGAAAAGAAATGCAAGAGAAAGAGTACCCATTTTCGGATTCTAATGTTCCAGCTATTTTTGAAGACTCCTCGAGTTAAATCTCATTGAGCTTCCGGAGACGAAGCGACCAAATGAAGCTGGAAACTTTTTTACCCAAATTACTGCAAATACCATCAACTTGTGAGCCACCCTCTGGAGAAGTGATTTGTCTTCAAGGACAAAGTTATGGACTTGGCTCGCGAAAAGAATATTGTGCTTGAAGATGAGAAAGCAAGCACAAACCAAGTCTCTATCACCTTTGGCTCATTCAGTCCGGATGAATTATGTGATTTTAAAGAAAGTAAAGATAAAGAATTACTGGAGATCGACAAAGCTGAAGTCAATCAACCTGATGATGATGAAGGTTGGAAGTTGGTGACTCGTCGTAGGCACCACAGAAGGAGCCCACGAAAAGAATTAGTATAACAACTAACAAGGAAAATGATGGTAAAAAGACCAAGGAGATGGAATCCAGTTAAGCATTTAAAGAAAGCAAAAGTGGAGGTGTTCCACCCTCAAAAGCCACGACATCCATTGACCTTGGAGGAGTTTTTACCAAGTTGGTTCCGCACGAAGATTTCCTATGGGGGTATTGATGCCTCTTGTTACCATGCTGACGAAGGGGGAGAGAAGAGTGATGACCTACCGTTGGCACCATCTTCGGAAAAGCTCATTGAGTCCACTCCTCAAGAAGTTAATGCTTGTGAGGAAAAAGTCACGTTCACAAATGAAGATCTTCTGCTAGGTGATACTCTTCATAACCGCCCATTGTACCTGGTTGGTTATATGCGTGGTGAAAAGGTAAATCGAATTTTGGTTGATGGAGGATCCTCAGTGAACATTTTGCCAATTCGCACTGTGAAAGAACTTGGTATTCCCATGAACGAACTCTCAGAAAGTCGGTGAATTCCAAGGATTCAACCAGGGGGGCAAAGAGCCATAGGAGAGATTAGGCTGGGAATCACCATTGAATATATGCAATCAGGTGCATGGCTGCATGTGATCGATGTAAAGACTTCATACAACGTCTTTCTTGGAAGGCCTTGGATACATGAGAATAAAGTGGTTCCGTCTACCTACCATCAATGTTTGAAATGCTATGAAGGTGAAGTCGAGAAGAAGATAATTGTTGATAACGAGCCATTCACCGAGGCTGAGTCACACTTCGTCGATGCAAAGTTCTACTTGAAGAACCGCATTGTGAAGGAGCTAAAGCTGATGATGTAATGAATGACAAGGATGACGAGTCCACGGCTAAGAGAGCTGAGGTGGTTGCCGACAAAACCAAAGCTGTTGCTGAGAAGGTACACCCCAACCCAAATAAGTCTCATAAAGGAAACATTATGTCTCACGACAAGAAAATAACTCCTCCGCTCCAATACGTGCCTAAAAAGAAGAAAGATGAAAGTGAATCATTTAATCTCCAAACTAACATGCTAAAGGGGTTAACTCTTCCGGTCAAACGAATTGAGGCGATAAAGTTGCCCTGAATGCCGCTTGCAGGGTTTGTGGCCCAAAATCGTTTGTAGAATGTGGCACTCCCTACAAAGCGAACAGATGAAGGTTTTGATCCTAACGCTTACAGGCTATTTGCAAAAGCTGGATAGGATCCCAATGAGCCGTCAAAGTTAGGGAAGCTCCCATCGGAAGCTGCAACGAGACAACCACGTGAAGGTTTGGGATACAAACAACAGTTACCAATGCGCATCTCCATTAGAAAGGCGAGCAGTAATTATATTACTGTAGAAGACGAATTTGCCGCTTCTAACAAGCCTTCTGTCTTTGATCGACTTGGAAAATGAACTGTGAGGACTTTCGTGTTTGATAGATTGGGTCCATTAAAGAAGGGGAACAAGTTCTTGAGAAATTATCAAAGCATAAGAACACCCGCTTCACCCAAAATCCAGAAGATCTTTAAGGATTTCCAAAGTTTGGTTCCTTCTCGAATGAGGCGACAAACAAAACTTGTGGTTTCATGTAAAGAAGTACTGAAGGTAAAGCCATATACTGTGATCTACACTAAGGAACGTGACGAAGATGAAAAAGTGTGGGTTCTTCGTATCATGTTACTGTACATGGCGAGAATGGTGTTCCATCTTTAGTGGAGGATAATGCAGAATTGGAGGATGTTTCACCATGTTATCACATATCCTTCAACAATGGGGACCCTCAAGAAGATGAAGATGCAAAAGATGCTCCACCTGAACTTGAAGAAGGGGTGAAGACGATAGTTGATGCCTTAAAAGAAGTTAACCTTGGCACCAATGAAGAACCAAGACCCACCTACCTAAGTGCTTTACTAGAAGTTGATGAAGAAAGCACTTATATTGAGTTACTCAAGGAGTTTAGGGATGTCTTTTCTTGGAGTTACAAAGAGATGCCTGGCTTGGACCCGAAAGTAACAGTCCATCACCTTGCAGTCAAGAATGGTGCTCGCCCTGTGAAACAAGCTCAAAGGCGCTTTAGGTCGGACTTGGTTCCCTTGATTGAAACAGAAGTTAACAAACTCATCGAAGCTGGCTTTATTCATGAAGTTAAATACCCAACATGGGTTTCAAGTATTGTCCCTATAAGGAAGAAAATGGCCAGATTTGAGTGTGCGTTGACTTCAGGGATCTCAACAATGCGTGTTCGAAAGATGAATTCCCCGCCTCCTATTCCAGAGTTGATGATCGATGCTACCACTGGGTACGAGGCAATGTCATTTATGGATGATTCATCTAGCTATAACCAAATTCGCATGGCGCCAGAAGATGAAGAGCTTACTGCATTCCATACCCCCAAGGTTATTTATTGCTACAAGGTAATGCCTTTTGGCATGAAGAACGCTGGTGCTACTTACCAAAGAGCTATGTAGAATATCTTTGATGACCTTCTCCACAAGAATGTCGAATGCTATGTGGACGACTTGGTGGTAAAATCAAGAAAGAGAGGTGACCACTTGAAAGACTTGAGAATGGTGTTTGAGTTGCTCCAAAGGTACTAACTTAGGAAGAATCCATTATAATGCGCCTTTGGAGTTACATCCGGAAAGTTCCTTGGTTTCATTGTCCGACATCGAGGGATTGAAATTGATCAAGACAAAGTAGATGCAATATTGAAAATGCCTGAGCCTCGAGGTATTCACGAATTGAAAAGTCTGCAAGGAAAGTTAGCGTACCTTAGGATATTTATCTCAAACCTAGTTAGGAGGTGCCAACCATTTAGTCCCCTTATGAAGAAAGGTGTCCCTTTCAAATGGGACCAAGAGTGTAGCAATGCCTTTGTGAGCATTAAATCCTACTTGATGAAGCCTCCAGTTTTAGCAGCCCCTATACCTGGAAAGCCGTTGATACTATACATTGCGGCGCAAGAAAGGTCTGTTGGAGCACTGTTGGCCAAAGAAAATAGTGAGGGGGAAGAAAACTCTCTTTATTACTTGAGCAAGATGATGACACCAAACGAGCTGAATTATTCGCCAATTAAAAAGTTATGTTTGGCACTAGTCTTCTCAATCCAAAAGTTGAAGCACTACTTTCAATCTCATGTCGTTTGTCTTGTTTCTAGATCAAATCCATCAAGTTCGTGATGTCAAAACCTGTGCTTAGTGATCAATTAGCAAGGTGATACCTCCAGTTTCACAATTTGAAATTGTGTACATCCCTCAAAAGACTATAAAAGGACAAGTGTTAGCAGACTTTTTGGCATATCACCCTATACCTGATGATTGGGAGCTAACTGACGAACTACCTTATGAGGACGCAATGTTCATTAACGATCAACCTCCATGGAAGATGTACTTTGATGGCGCTGCACATCGCGGAGGAGCTAGTGCTGGTGTAGTATTTGTCACTTCTCAAGGTGAAGTTCTGCCCTACTCTTTTACGTTGATGCAACTATACTCTAACAACGTTACTGAGTATCAAGCACTAATACTTGGGCTTGAAAAGGCTGTCGAAATGAAGTGGTTGCAATTGCAAATCCTTGGTGACTCTCACTTAGTGGTCAATCAGCTTTTAGGTAGTTACAAGGTCAAGAAGCCTAAACTACGCTCATATCATGACTACGCTAAAAAATTAATGGGGTGGGTCGGTGACGTGACTATTCAACATGTGCCAAGGAAAGAAAACAAGAAGGTTGATGCTTTAGTTACCCTAGCTTCATCATTAACCCTGCCTGATCAAGTGCAAGTTACTGTCTGCCAAAAATGGGTATTATCGCCGCCAAATGAGGCTGAAGGTGAAGAAAATGAATTCAAGCATCTCGCTGTTTCTGAAGTTGATAAAGAAGAATGGCGTCAAACCATTATCAACTACTTATGCTATGGGATACTTCAAAAAAATCTGAGGAGAAGGACTGAAATCCGTCATCGTGCACCTCATTTCCTTTACTAGAAAGATACTCTATACAGAAGGTCATTCGAGGGAGTACTCTTGCGATGCTTAGGGGAAGAAGAAGCATTCCAAGATTTGCAAGAGACACATTCTGGGGTATGTGGGTCACACCAGTTTGGACCAAAGCTCCACTTCCATATAAAAATGATGGGATATTATTGGCCAACGATGGTAAAAGATTGCTTGGACTACGCTCGAAGAAGCAAGGCTTGTCAATTCCATGCGAATTTTATTCATCAACCTCCTGAAGTGTTGCACCTGACTGTTGCATCCTGGCCGTTTGACGTTTGGGGATTGGATGTTGTTGGACCACTGCCAGAGTATGGTGGGCACCTATACATCTTGGCTGCAACTGACTACTTCTCAAAATGGGCTGAAGTTGTTGCTCTTAAGGAGGTGAAGAAGGAAAATGTTGCAAGTTTCATCCGAGTAAACATAATCTATCGCTTTGGCATTCCTCGGTACATAATAATAGATAATGAAAATCCATTCGATAATAGGTTGATGAACAAGATTTGTGATCTCTTTGGTTTCAAGTAGTGTAACTCTTCAATGTATAATCCTGCCACCAATGGTATAGCTGAGGCATTCAATAAAACTCTATGCAACTTGTTAAAGAAAGTCGTCTCCAAATCCAGACGAGATTGGAATGACCGTATGGAATAAGCTCTATGGGCATATAGGACGACTCACCGCACGCCAACACAAGCGATTCCTTATTCACTCGTTTATAAAGTCGAAGGTGTCTTGCCACTCGAGCGTCAAATACCTTCATTAAGACTGGCTATTCAAGAAGGGATCAGTGATGAAGAAAATGCTCGACTTCGATTAGCAGAGTTGGAGGCTCTTGATGAAAAGAGGTTGGAAGCTCAACAGAGTCTTGAATGTTATCAAGCTCGATTATCTCGCGCCTTCAATAAAAGAGTTCGCCCAAGATTCTTTCAAGTAGGAGATCAAGTCCTTGCCATATGGAGACACATTATCACATCCAATAAACCTGTAGGCAAGTTCACTTCAAAATGGGATGGGCCATATGTCGTGCAGGAAGCTTACTCAAGTGGGCCTTACAAGCTGGTTGATGCAGATGGCATGAGAACCAGCCCTATCAATGGCAAGTTTTTGAAGAAATATTATCCTTGAAGTTGCAATGCTCCTCGACGTACGAGCCTAAACTACACATTGCTACACTCCTGGCCCGCATGAGTCTAAACTATGTACGGCCCACACACAAAAAGTCCGCTAGGTTGAAACCTCGAAAGAGGCGGCCTAGGTAAAAGTTAGGACATAAAAAAAAATTCACCCATTCTGAACTACAGTATGACTTTGATCCTATTCACCGATGTACGTAGGCAGCTTAGAGTTTCATTCTGAATTCAGTCGCATAAGTTCAAAAGATACATAATCCCCCAATCATTGTCCGAATGACGTAGGATGGTATGAAATCCATTCAACCGGCACTTGAAAATCGAGCTGAGATACCATTCTTCTGTTAAACTAGGGGGCAAGCTGCTATGGTAAGTTGGTGTCTTCAATAAAATGATTAATATCTTTTAGGAGGCTGCCAAGCATTTGCATTGAAGTCCGGGATTCGCTATGCCTCACGTTCGCCAAACCTTCAAGTTTTTTATTTGGTGAAGCCTTCACGACGTTTCAAATTCAGTGAGACTTGAACCCAAGATATTTAGTGAGAATGAAGCTCTTGAATTTCGATTTTTGGCAATTAAAAAAGGTCTTGCGATCTCGAGGATTCCACATCAAGATACAAAACTTTTGGTGAAGTCGCGCTAATTTAGGAATGTCGACATATCAAAAACAAAAGTCGACTTCGAAATATCATCTGAAACTATCCTTAAGGCATTAAATTTTACAGTTTGGATATGTTTTAGATTTTGAAGTTTAGTTTCCAAGAAATCAAGTGGTTCGTGATTTCAACATCCCTACATCAAAATACAAAACTTTTGGCAAAGTCGCGCAATCTGAAACCGTCAGTGCGTCAGAATTTAATATTCATTTTCGAACTATTATCTGAAACTATCCTTAAGGCATTAAAATTTTGCATTTTGGATATTTTATATATTTGCAAGTAAAGTTTTAAAAAATCAAACGGTTCGTTATTTTGGCTTTTCTACACCAAGATATGATTTTTTTTGGCGAGACTGCGCAAATCCAAAATTTTCAACGTGTTGGAATCTAATGTTGGTTTCAAGAATAATATATGGGGCGATCCTGAAGGCGTTTGATTCTAAGTTTTGGATATTATTTAGATATTGAATTCTAATTTTCTAGAAATCAAACGGTTCGTTATTTGGACTCTCCCACGACAAGATATGAATCTTTCGTTACAAGCGCGTAAAGCTAAAAATTATGCGACTAAAATAAATGTCGGGCAATGTAAAGCAAAAGAGAAGCAATCTTATTTAAGATGAAATAAATATCCACTAGGTCAATCTAACATAAAGATAATAAAAAGGGAGATAATGCTAATAGCCTAATCTAAACAAAATTTGTAGTTGATCAATTCTTGACAGCTAGTCTCCAGGTTCTTCTTCTTCTCCTCCAAATTGGCCGAATCATCAACGGTCAGCAAATTTATGTTGTTATATTAAGAGAGCTCAGTCTCGGCAGCTGAAACAAACTGAATCTCTTCAACCTCCTTTTGAGTCGCTTCTATAACACCTTCGAAGTTCTCACTCTCTTGTTGTAATGTTTGCAACTTCTTCACAATTCTCTTCAGTTTCTTTTCACTAGAGGAAACTTTCTTGACTTTCTCACTTGCTTCAAGTTTTAACGATTCAAGACACTCCTTATCTATGGAAATCAGCTCCAGCTTCTCATCTTGACTCGTTTTATTAGCCAAATCGGATCGCTCTAGGTCTTATGAAGCAGCAAGCTCGAAAAGAGAATCCAGTAAACACTCTAATGGAGAAAGATCTAAAATATTCACCTTTTTAATATCCTCGAAAATCTCAGTGATTTTCTCCCTATAAGATGAGAGCAGTTCTGCACGAGTTTTGGAGAGTCTATTGCAAATATCCTCCCAAAGTCCCAAGATGAATTCCTTTTTGCGATTAAAGACAGTGCTCTTTCCTTCGAAAATAGATACTGGTGTATTTTTCATTGTGGGACGCGAGTTATCTCATTTGGAGTTTGTCTTTTTAGGGCTTTGTCATGAGAAAGAGATGATGCCTTTGAAGATGACTTCACTTTACACGTAGGCCCTCCAATAGATTCATCACTCACTTGTGGCTTGTCATATGGGGATACCATCGGATGCCCAATGGCGTTTAACTGCATAAGGAAATGGTAAAGAAAGTAAGTAATTTATAATGAAGCTATTCGTTCAAAAAAAGGAAGGAAAAAGGCGAGGTGATTGTATTTTACCTCTTTGTTACAAGCTGTATGTGTTCTTGTGGGACTATCAACACTTGGAACCTCTACGATCTCTACTGGGTTAGGCCGTTTCCTTTTCCAATTTTGATCTTCATTGGTACTCTGGCTTGTATCTTGAGGAACTCGCGTGCTAAATGGATAAACTAGAGGGTGTTTCTCTATATCTGTTGAAGTGCACACCGCCTCTTTCAAAGCTGCCTTTGAGGATTTAAGCTTTCCTTTTCTTATGTTGTGTAACTACTTTTGGGATTGGAGTAGGAGGTTCTTTAACTTTTGAGAGCATCTTTCCAACACCTTGATCTGAACATCCTAAAGGAGTAGTAGATTTTAGCCCAACATTGTCTACCAGAGCTTGTAAATTATTCTCGAGAAACTTCCCATGCGCTTTCTCCCACCAAGACATATAATTGGTGGAGAAAGTCTTCTTCAAAGGATCTCCCATTGGGGGGAAATCGCACGTGACATAGACCGATACAGTGTGCAAATCCATCAAAATCTGAGTCCTTCATCTAAAGAGGCGCTACGGATATCATTCTCCAAAAATCGGGGACGTTCTGGTAAAACCCAAATTGACGACTAAATCGATGCGGGTTATATGGCTCGATAATGAATGAGTTATCATACCTCAAAAGGGAGGTAACTAAAATGTAAACTTATGAAGTAATTTGACTCCAACTCTTGAGGGGCATCGTTATCCACATAATAATAAGGACGAGAATTGGTTAACATTGTTGGTGTCCAAACTATAACCTCCCCAATGTGGATGTGTTTTCTTGCATCTCTATCGTCAAAGTACCTCGCAGCTCCCTCTCCTAGGTATGCCACCGTCAAAGAGACAGACGGACCCTTATCAAGTGGGTAATGGGTTTTGAGGTAATGTGCAAACCAGTCGTAAATATAATGGATGGGAAAACAAACTTTGACTTGATCAAGTTGGGAAGAACACGAAATCTTATTCAAACCATGATAAATACTCGCCAAAACTGCGACCGCAAGGCTAATCTTTCTCTCGCTTGCTGTCATGCTTGCCATCTTAAAAGTCTCGGGACGGATGAAGTTCTTGCCGTTTAGGGAAACACAAAAGCACATAGCTAAATTGATAAGAAGGTTGCTATATATGTTTCATCTTTCTTGTCAGACCTCACCCTAAGCTTGGAGAATATAGCTTCTTGATCACTCGACCACCTAGTTATCTCGGGGATAACTACGTTGGGATTATGTGTCGACTTTTGGCGCACAGATTTCTTTTCCTTTCGTAGTGGGGCGGCTTTATATATTAAAGCCTTTTTATACCAAAAATTTGTCCACTTGCTCAAGGAGACCTTTTGGTTAACAGTTGTACCTTCCTTAAGTGATGGAAGACAGCAAATAAATACTCGCAAGATCGAGGAATAAATCTCTTCTGTTTTTCGTCCAAACCGATGAGTTCTCTTGTCTCAGGTACCACTTCTTCGTACGGAGAACCCGCAATGGGCAAACCTCCAAGGATATGTAAGTCCCAAAGAGAAATAGATAGTTCCCCAGCTGATGTAAGAAGCGGGTTCGTCTTGGGGCACCAAGCCT